GGCTGGGAGCGTAAGATCTGCACAGGATTAAATCCTTTTGCTAGATTATTCTCTTCTCTTTCCTTCTCTCTTGCTTCTCTGGGTTTTTTTCTTCTTTTTTTTTGGTTGTTTTTTTTTTTGCAATTTTCTCTTCCCTGTCTCTGTCCCCCCACCCCCACCACTGTCCTCTCTTTGATGTTATGCATTATTAGGAGGAGCAACTGTATGTATTTTTAAAAGAAAAAAAACCCTGTGTCATCTCCCAGAGGAGATCTCGGCTTCTTCCGAAAGCTCATGTTCGAAGGTGCTTTGCTGTCGCCGTCTGAACGTCTGCGCCGAGGGGAAACTTTGTCACCCTACCAGCCAATGTATTTCTAGTCCCCCCCCCCTTCCCCAATTCCACTTTCTTCCTCATTTGGTTTCACCGTATTAATTGCTTTCCCAGTCAGCCCCTAACCATTGAAGCGTTTGCTGTCATTACGCCTCTCTCTGAAACACGAGAGAATGAAATTAGCCATGGGGTTTCCACCAATCTCTTTGCATGTGCACCTCTGTTGCCTCTGCTTGGACTGTGTGTGGTTGGGAGAGGGGGCCCTCCAAAGCTTGCTTGGAAAAGGAGGCAATTTGAAACTCTTCTGCATTCCAGAGTTACCCATGGTTGGGGTTTTGCAAGCTTGTTCTGGAATGGAGTGCTCCCATGAGTATGGAAATACTCTTTGGGGAGCTTCTGAATATAAGTGTGTGGGTGTATGTGTGTGTGCATATATATCCTGTGGGAAGATCCAGTGGGATTTCCAGATCCAGATGGACAGGCAGGTACTGCCCAATCAACCAGACGTCGTGGTAGTAGACAAGGACCAGGAGTGGTGATGGAAGTAGTGGTGCCAAGTGACAGCAACATCAGGAAGAAAGAGTAGGGGAGAAGGACCAGGGCCTGAAGGAGGAACTAGAGAGGATGTGGAAAGTCAAGGCCAAAGAGGACCCCGTGGTGGTGGGAGCACTCGGGGCTGTGACTCCTAAGCTGGGAGAGGGGCTCCACCAGATCCCAGGAGAACATCAGAGCTCTCTGTCTGCAGTGCTAGGAACAGCTCAGATCCTGCGCAGATCCTTCAAACTCCCAGGTCTCTGGCAGAGGACCTGAGATTGAGGAAGACACAGACCACCCATAGGGGTGAGAGGGGATTTTTTTTATATAATGTATCAACCTCCTTTCCTTATTCTTCCATGTAGACTGAAATGTACTGACAGGGATACAGTTCCACTTAATGCAATATCTTCTTCCTAAGCATCAGCATCATTGTTGCAGTAGTTGTTATTAGTGTTGTTGACTATGGAGACACAACACTAATTTCATTCTCAGCCATGGAACCTCACTGAGCCATACCTTCTCTTGGCCCAACCTACCTCACAGGATTGTTTTTCTGACTTTAGGGAAGAAGCGCCAGGCACGTTGGCTTGAACGTCTGGGGAAAGGCCGGGAAGAGGGTGTGGTGGGGAGAAGAAGAATGATACCAATAATACAACACAACCCTATCCATAATTATTCAAAAAAGAAGTTCCAGAAAGTCAGCGATGGAGAATTCCAGCTGTTGAGATCCACATTTTGAAAAGAAAGAAAAGTGAAAGTCTTTGCTCCTACATTTTGGCAGTAGGGGAAACCAATGGTTAAGGGTACGGTAGCAGATGCCAACAGCTAGGAAAAGTGAGGATGAGGTTGTGAGAGAGTGCAAATTGGTGACATAGAGGTGTCAGAATGCGATACCTTGGAATGGTGAAGATGCACAGTTTGGCAGCCCTGAGGAACTGTATTAATTTCTTGGGGGCTCTTTTTTAAAACCTGTTGTCCAGACAGTTACCATGGATGATACCTGTTTATGCTTCTTCTCTATGCCTTGATGGAAAGTCACCTTGTTAGGACTCTAGGGGCAAACTGAATAAAAGTGTTTCTTTATGAATCCCAGGATCCCAAACCCTTGACTTTCCCAATGACAGCCCAATCATGCTGCTTCCAGCCACATTCTGGACCTTTCAAATATCTGTAGCCCAGGGGTTTGCTCTATCCCCAGGGTAGTTTGAGTGTTGTATCCTTTGCGCTGATTTTTTTAAGCAACTCTCTAGTTCTGCCCGTGTTGCAAGCACTGACTTATGACGTAGAAACCTGCCTGATGTCTTTAATTTTTGCATGTTGGCATTCAGGAACAGGCAAATATCTAGGAGTCAGAGCCAAGCCCTTGACATACATGTGATACACAATGATTGTCTTTCTGAGACGTTATTTAATACGCTGCAAGGGTTGAATTCCTTGTGTTGAGGGTCTGGCTGGTTTGTGCAAAGGCCCGCTGAGTGTAGCCTTTAACCAAGGCTACCCTTTGAGGGACCTGCTGAGAATTGTCCTCCAGATGTGGGTGGTGCGAGGGCTAAGGAAGGATGAAGTCAGGAGAAAAGTGAAATTAGGCTCAACTGAAATAAGTGGTTAATACAATCTGCGTAGTTATTCTCCATGCATTTAGCTGGTTTTTCTCTTCGGTCGCATTAACATGAGGCTTTAATGGCAACTTTTGGTGGAAAGAGAGAAGGTTGAAAGAAAGGATGTTCTTACAAGATGAAAATAAGGAGAGGAATTATTGGGCTAAGCTTGGGAGGGCCTTAGAAGACCAGCTTGTGGACCCTGCTCATAATTTGGACTTGAAATCTTCTATCCGTGAAGGATGGATGGATGGATGGATGGATGGATGATAGAATATGTTCATGCATGATACATGACAAAACAACAAGACATTTTGAGGTAAAAACGTGCCAATCTTGAAATATCCCCAACCTCAGAGCTGTTTTCCTGTTCCGATCTTATTGGAAGTGTTCTGATCCAGTTTCAACCTTCCTCTTGCTGTTTTGACCATGAAACGTATCCTCTGTTTTGGCAGTAGAACACATATTTCAATATCAAATGCTTCCGGTAAGGGTGGAACTGTTCTGGTAAAAGTGGAATGGGATAGTTTGGGCTTGGCATGTGTTGGTGTTGAAATATTTTGCAAACCTCTTGAGTGCGTCTGTCTACATCTACACATACTTTTCATGTGTTTCTTGGCTTGATTAGGCATTCTGCCAGATTGCAGTTGTTAGATATTCAATTCAGTGTGACCTAAGTCATAACAACATGGCATAATATCAAAGGGAACCAAAGTTGTAATAATAATTAGAAGAAGAAGAAACAGAGAAAAAGCATGCAAGAGAATTAAGATGGAACCAATACGAGCTTGAAATTTCTTTTGAAGTTTGAAAGGAAGCATGGTGAATAGAGTGACCTGGACACTAACAGTTGGAATCATATCCGCAAGAAGGTAGTTCAGTTGTTCAGTATCCAACTGCAAGTTTTCCACCTTATTTCATCATAGGTGGGCAGTGAAGGACATAACCGATAATGTCCTCCACTTGGCTGGCACCACAGGCGTAGAGGCACTGTTCCACTGGACTTTTACAAAATCTCCCTGCAAGGTTTAGATAGGCTCCACAAACGAATGAACGTTTGAAAGAGGTCGCTTGGCTGGCAATGTAAAAAAAAAAAAATGAATAAATTGAAAAACTCAGATAAGTAAGTTTATTATAGAAAAGCTATGAACCCACGATGAAAGAATTCTAACCGATGCTATGTCTCAAACGCAACCCCTATTTATAGAGAAATCCAGGTTCAGATTGCTGTATGTCTTTCTCCTACCTGAGTGATATAACGGGCCACACACCCTTCTCTTTTGGGCAGGATTAAATCTGGGTTAGTTTAAATCTGTCTTTTGTTTTAGTCCCAGACAGATCTTGTATTACGCTGTTTCCTTTTGACCGTGTGATTACTAGCTCTCATTCCTCTTCTTCATTGTGTTATTTGCATCTGGATGCAGGAGCCCATCTTCCCCACTGTTGCCTTGTTATTTAAGGCCACAAGGAGGGGAAAAGAGATGCCATTTGGACTCTCCTCCAGGTAACCAAGTGCCAAAGCCCAACCTTGGAGATCACCAGTACCAATTTTTGCTCGCATGATGCCCCGTTTAGAAGATTGACTTAATGTGGAAGTGGAACCTCTTTCTTTCAACACATGCTAGATGGGAATTAATCTGGGAACTTGTGTTTTTCCCCCCTTTTGGAAGACTGATTCTGAATAGATTCACACAGCTTGTTGTTGCCGTTGTTAACATCTATTCATCTTAATGTTTTTGTAACTGCATCGAGTGCCCACAGAAGTGAAGTGCTGAAATCAATAAGAGAGGCTAAAATAAGGGCTAAGTAGCAACGAGGATAAAAGATCCACCTTCAAAAGGCAGCTCCAGCACAAAAGCCCTGAGCCAACCAGCCTTCTTAATAAATAAGTGT